TGACGCACAAAGCCTGTGAGGTCAGTACTGTTGTTGTCCTCATCTTGCCCTGGGAAAAACAACAGCCACAGACAGTCCATGCTTGGCAAGGAGCAAGAGCAGAGTGTGAGCCACGCTGGTTCAATCACACAGCTGCTCAAAATCAAGGTGAAGGGGTTACTTGTAGTCCCAGGTACCTGGGAGGATAAGGCAGGAGGATCATGTTAGTCCAGAGTTTGAGACCAGCCTGGGCAACACAGTGAGACTGTCTTGGGAACTTTTAAAATTTTTATTTATTTATTTAATTAGTTAGTTAGTTTTTTGAGACAGGGTCTCAGTATGTAGTTCAGGCTGGTCTTGAAATCACTACGCAGCCCGGGCTGGCCTTGAGGCAATCCTCCCGCCTCAGCTCCCAAGTGCTGGGATTACAGGCGTGAGCCGCCACACCCAGTGCTGTCTCTGGATTTTTTTTTTTTTTAAATCAAGTCAAAGGAAACTATTCTCTCACTTGGACAAACGTTTACTCTATTTAGCTAAATGAAAAATGGTTCATTATCACAACAGTATGTACAATAGGGTACCATTTTTTTTAAAGGAGAAAGAACTCTCCCCCTGTACACATACACACAGGCACAAAAACAACGGGACACAAAATATTTACTGTGGTTACGTCTGGGTAATAAGATCATGTGTGCATTTTGTGTTTCTCCATTTTTCTAAGAAGTTATATACTTAATATGGATTGTTTTTGAATCTTCAGGGAAAGAAAAGAGGGAGATTTGTCAGGCAGGGATAAACCCTATTGTTTTTCCCTCAAGAGGCTACCTGCCATGGATGCTTCCATGGACTTGATTCATCTGGATGAACTGGCTATGGGTAGACATTTCCTTTGGCTCCTGGTTGAAGACTGACAGGGCAAACCCTGATTCTAACCAGGTCTGGCCCAGCCCCGAGACCCAGCGAAGGTTGGCTGAGCCTGAATCAGGGCTCCAGGGACTGAGGCTAGAGACATGGTTTCTCATCAGATGGTTACAGGTCCCAGGAGGCCAGCTTCCAAACAGGAAAGATAAAATAGTCCGAAGGAAGCTCCTGAACCAGATATTCAGATTTTGAACTGCCTCTGACTCCTTCTGTCCCTAGTCTGAGCTCCAAATACCAGCCGAGCCGCTGTTGCCACTATCATTGCTGTCCACATCTGGACACAGCCTCCTCAGTTCGCCCTACCCTGGGCTGCATCAGATCAACACACCCATGCTCAAAATGTTCCGTGGCTCCCAAGCGGGAACTGTACTGAAAATGAAATCTTCTGGCACTAGGGGTGAAACTCAGTGATACAGCACTTGCTCAACTTGCGTGAGGCCCTGGAGCCCTGGGCTGGGTCCCCAGTACCAGCGGGCAGTAGGAACTCCTTGGTCAAATCCTGGAAATTATGACTTAGCAGATTTGGAGGGGTCCCAGAAATCTGAAGCAAGTCTAGCATTCTCTAAAAGTAGAGATATCTCCTAAAAAACAAAAGCCTGCAGCAGTGAGCTTCACCCTGACTCAAAGGCAACCGTGGCTGGGGACAGCTCGGTTGAAGACAAGTAATTCCAAGCAGACAAAGACCTGGATTTGCACCTTATCAGAGACCCTGACAATGCCTCAGTTAGAAATCCGTCTTATCTGATTATGAATAAGCTTAGTTCACTGAAATGTAGCCTCAACTTGAGGCAACACACAATTTATAGTCAATAAAACTGTTTTCTTGCCGGGCATGGTGGCACACCCCTGTAATCCCAGCACTTGGGCGGCTGAGGCAGGAGGATCGTTCCAAATTCAGGACCAGCCTGGGCTACAAAGTGAGCTCAAGGCCAGTCTAAACTGCATAGCAAGACCCTATCTCAAAAAGACAAAAAAAAAAAAAAATTGCTTTCTTGTTGTATAAGGGCCTTCTTATAGTCGAGAAAAATTAAGAATTGGAAAGAGAGATGGAAGAGTAAATAATAATCAGTGTATTCTTGGAATGTGAAGTATGTATAACCTTGAAAAAATTTTGATATACTCAATATCTAACACATAAGTACTGTGATCTTGATTTAAGATATTAAAATTTAAATAGGTAATTGATAAAATATCTCCATAATTGACAGCAGATTTATGAGTTTAGATTGAGAGGTCATTAATGACACTGCCATATATTAGAATTAGAATCACCTGTGGAACTGTAACTTATCTAAAGCGTGTCCCATCCTTAAAATCTACCCACCGTAATATTCTTGGTTTTTTGTTTTGTTTTTTGTCTTTTTAGACAGGGTCTAAAAAGGGGCTACAAAGTACGCTCAAGGCTGGCCTGAACTCAGGCCTGCGCTCAGCCTTGAGCGCACTTTGTAGCCCAGGCTGGTCTTGAACTTGCGTCGATCCTCTTGCCTCAGCCTCCTGAGTGTTGGGATTACAGGTGTGCGCCACCATGCCTGGCTCCCTCCATAATATTCTGATTTCAAATCAGAGATGGAGCCTGGGTCCTGGGTGTGTGTGTTTTTATGCATCTAAGCAAGTGCTCTACCACTGAGCAACACCCTCAGCAGGAACTTGCATTTTTGAAAACTCCTCAGCCAAGAGCCACTGACATAAGAGAATTCGACTAAGTCTGTAAACAGTACTGAACTCTTTATAAGAACTTGAAATTCGGTATAAGTTTAATTAATTAGATTTCTCTAGTAACTAAGTATCCTTGGGGAAATTGTGCTTGTTAGGTTACGCATCTAGAGCACATAAAAAGAAAATCAAATATATTAAATTTATAAATAGAGTTAAAATGTTTAAGGGAATGTAATTAAGCTGTAAAAAGAGCTAAGCGTTTAAAGGAATTTAGTTTGTTCAACTTGAGTTCAAATATTAATCAAAGGAAAAGTTAAGGTCATTTTTCTTACTTTCATAGATTCATGTATAGAATAATAATTGCAAATTGAAATTGATAGCCTGAAGAAAATAAGCTTTTAAACATTGTTACTCCAAAATGAGAATTTTAGGGGCTGGGGATTTAGCTCAGCGGCACAGCACCTACCTCGCAAGTGCAAGGTTGTGAGTTCGATTCCTGGTACCAGAAAAAAAACAAAAACAAAAACAAAATGAGAATTTTAATTTAAAAGATAAAAAATAGGCCAGCCATGGTAGCACATGCCTGTATTCTCAGCACTCAGGAGACTGAGGCAGGAGGGTTGCTGAGAGTATGAGGCCAGCATGGGCTACAAGAGTTCAAAGCCACCCCAGACTATATAAGGAGACCCTGTCTCAAAAAACAAAACAAAATATAAATAAAATAAACCACACCTTTAACTCTTTGTGGTCTTTCCTACTCATCTCACCTAAATGGTTCTCTCCTGAACTTCCCACAAGCCAGAGTAGATGGTTGCAGAGCTCCTGCAGGTTCACAACTTCCTGCCCCAGAGAGTTACCAGGATGCTTTGCAAGTAGTAAATAACCACAGAAAGGATATCACATCCCAGAAATAGAACATTTCACTTTTCTTTCTAGTCCCTTAAGTAGGCATTACTACTGCTCTTTACAGTTGAATAAAAATAGGACCCAGAGGATCTGGACCTGATCTAGGTCACAGAATCAGAAGTAGAGCCAGGCCCGGAGTCCAGTACCTAGTCTTGAATGTCATCACTGCCCTGACGACTCCTGTCTTATATTCAGACCTCTCCCTGTAAACTCCAAAGCCATGTTCCTGTTTGTCTTGGACATCTCCACTTCAGCTCAAACCAAACATTGCCAAAACAGAACTAAATTCATTCCTGTTGATTTTGCTGTTGAGCTCAAAATGTAAGGTGTTCTTGATTCTTCTTTGCTACACACATATGCCAACTTATTCTGTCTGCTGTACCTCCCAAAATACATCTCAAATCTGATCATTACTCTAATCCATATCCAAATCTAAATCACCATCTTCTTTCAACTGATCCACCTCAATAACTTTCCCCTCCAGTCCATTCTCCAGACAGTAGGGAAAATGATGACATTAAAATGTCAATCACATCTTGTCACATCCCTGCTCAAAACCCTTCAGTGCCTTCCTAGGACAATTATTTAAAAAAAAAAAAAAAAAGACTCCTTACCATGGGTTACAAGACCAGACTAGAGCTGATCCAAGCCCACCTCTTCACAGTCCACTCTACTTTCCCTCAAATATCCCAGGAATGCAGCCACCTCAGGACCTTTGCACCAACAGCCTCCTGTTCGACCAGCGACTATAATCACTAATGTGTATAGCCAAATGTCACCCTCAGTGCAGCCACCCAGGCTAAAACAGCACCACCAGCCAGGTGTGCTGGCTGTAATCCCAGCTACTGGGGGGCTGAGGCAGACGGATCTCTGTGAGTTCAACAGCCAGGTTGAGCTACATAGTTCAAGGTCAGTTGTGAACTACACAGTGAGACCTTGCCTCAAAAAATAAACAAAACCACCCACCATGTCCTCCCCAAATAGACTGGCCTTGAACTCATAACAATCCTCCTGCCTCAGCCTCCCGAATGCTGGGATTACCGGCTAATCTTCTGTTCTTTACAGCACTACCTGTGTGTAGAAACAGGATTCTCATGCCGCTGCCCCGCCCTCTTTTCATTCATACGCACCAAAGGGGTACAGGACAGGGCCCGTATTAGCAACTGGGTAAACATTTATCGAATGCCTCTTAGTCGAAAGCCCTTACTCTTCCCATTCTCAAGAAGACATGAGTGGTCCCAGGTAGCCTGTCTGCCAGGCCAGGGTTCTTGACTTTGAAGCCTGGAGGTGTGGGAAACAGGAAGCACGGACAGAACATCCCCCAGGAGCCACTTTTGTCACCTCTAGGTCTGCACTCGGGGCAGGGAAAGAAGACGAAACATTAGCTGGGGATCCGCCGAAAGGCCAGGTATCCTTCCCCTCCACCCATTCCCCAACTCGGAAATGACGGGACGCAGAGAATTAGAAGGCAGAGCCCAAGCCTGCCAGAGTCGGGAAGGAGTATCACTCGCCCCTCGACGTCCCGCCAAGGAAGGTACCTGGCTCCTCGGGGCTGGACGGCTGCAGGCTCCTCCTCTTACACCCTTACGTCGCGCACTGCTTGCTGGGATTCGTAGTTGGGTATCAACCCACCCTTCCCAGAAAGCTTTGGGAAGCTAAACTGAAACAGGGCGGGGAGAGGCGGAGGAAGCGCGAGGCCCTCTGGGAATTGTAGTTCAGGTCTTCAAAGAGCAAGAAATAATTGAAAAGAAAATCAAGATAATAATACTTACAACGCTTGAGCTGTGATACTTTAAATCTTACGAGATAATTATTTCTACTTATCAGGTCAGCCGTTATCTCTGTGGTTCAAAACGATGACCTTTGTGATCCGAAGAAACTACCAATCCCATAAGGCCTTGCACGTAGATGCAGTCGGAGAGCGAGGGCGGCCTCCGCGCAGGCGCGGTGGCGGGAGTTCGGCGGTGAGGAAACATGGCTTCTCCGACTGTCGCTTCGCGGTTGTATTCCCTGCTGTTTCGCCGGACTTCCACCTTCGCCCTCACCATTGCCGTGGGCGCCTTGTTCTTCGAGCGCGCCTTCGACCAAGGCGCAGACGCGATCTACGAGCACATCAACGACGGGGTGAGGGCCTGGGCCGTCCTGACCTTGGGCCTGGCGGAAAGAGAATGGCGGGAGTGGAAGCGGGTCGGGAGTCTCTCTGCCTTCCCAGGAGGCGGGTAAAAACTGTGGGCGTTTTCTGTCCGGAGAATGCCGTCTCGCCTCTTCACCTGGTGTGAATCTTAAAATGTTAAAAAAAAGAAAGAAAAGAAGGCCGTACTTTGCAAGGGTCGTATTGATATGTCCCACCCCGCAGTTCCACTTTGTTCATTTGTAGAAGCTAAATCAAAGGCTACGAGAGGGAAGAACTTACTAGGTCTGCAGTACCAGTAGGTCAGTGGCAAGTGAGCACTGGAACTTTGACCCCTGTCTCCCTTGAGAGTGTGAGGGCAGATTTGAGACCTTGAAAGGGACATCTCCTTAGGCACCGTGGCTGACCTTTTAAAATTGCTCTTTCAAGCCGGGCGTGGTGAAGCACACCTGTAATCTCAGAACGCGGGAGGCTGAGGCAGGAGAATTGCTGAGAATTTGAGCCAGTGTGGGCTACATAGTGAATTCAAGGCCAGCCTGAGCTACATAGCAAGACCCTGTCTCAACAGAAACAAAAAAGTAGCTTCAGCGTCGTTCTGAAGACTGGCTGTGAACTCAATATGTAGCCCACCTTGGCCTTAAACTCGGGGCAGTGCTCCTGCCTCAGCCTCCTGTTGCTGGGATGACAGGCGTGTGCCATTATGCCCAGCAAGGCAGCTTGGTATTAGTGTTTAAGAGTGGGGGCTATGAAATCAAAGTGCCCTACCTGGGTATACTAGGCGTTGTCACTTAATAACCATGGCATTAAGTTGGACGTGTTTAACTTCTCTTGAGCTTCAGTTTTATCTGTGAAATAGGGCCATAATAGTAACACCTCAGTGAATACAGATACGGTGCCACAGTGCCTGATGGGTGGCACTGAAAAAGAATGTTCTTTGCATTGCTCGGAAAAAATGGGAGCATAAAGTAGGAGTAGTAACACCTTTTAGACTTTTTATGTAAGGACCGCTGCTAGGGTCTGTGCTGCTTTATATCTTTAGATAGGGGCTGTACTGGAAAAGGCCTGGTACAGATAACCCTGTACTACTATGTACTGTATTTGTGTTTCTCTTTTCTTTTTGGTACTGGGAATCGAATTCAGGACCTTGCGCTTGCCAGGCAGGTGCTTATGCCATTGAGCTGTATCCCCTGCCCTGAATTTGTGTTTTTAATTAGAGGCTACCTGACTACATCCCAGGAGAGCTCTGTCCACTGATGCCATACTGCCCATGGCCAGGGCACCTCTCTGCCATATAGAAATCTTACCACTGTCCTGATGTGGGCACTGATTTCTTCTGGCCATTCCTACTAGTCTGGAAAGGCGTCTGAGTACCTTGTTGTATGCCACCCGTTTCCTTGTGCTTTTAGGAAAGATAATTCCAGCCAATTTAGGTTGAGGGAAAATGGCTCAACTTAGTGTCCCTGGATTTATACCTGGGAGTTAAAAAAAAAAAAATCAGGACATCTTCAAGCTCTCCATGACTGTATTTGGGGCCATTCTCTCAGTCTCTGCTTTAATTTCCTGTAGAAGCAGGATTATCCCTTTCTACTTACTTCACATAATGTTGAGCATCACAGTATTTTATAAATGTTTAAAATTGCATGTCAAGCCCAGTGTTGCTTCCATCCTGCCCAGCACAACGGTGCATTTTTAATCAGAACATAGCATTGGTTTCTTCCAAGTTTGTTTAGTTGTGCAGTGGGAGTAGGGTAAAATGTGCGAGCAAAAGTTACAGTTTGTGGTTCTTGTCTTTTGTATGCAGAAGCTGTGGAAACATATAAAGCACAAGTATGAGAACAAGGAGTAGCTCCTCGACTCCAGGGGCCAGAAGGACCAGGTCTACCTATTCGCTATTTGTGCAGAACTGGGGGGCTCAGCTCTTCACAGACCACCTGTAGCTCTTGGCAAGAAATGGCTCCACCTAACAGACTGTTTAACTTCTACTGTGTTTGAAGTGTGTTTATTCAGAGTTATCAGCAAATAAATGTAAATTGGCCTTGAGACCTGCCGTTTGCATTGGATGCTTTGTTGACTCTACCTGATCTTCACATTTCAGTGAATTCACATTGACCCCACATCAAAGCTCTCTGCAAACATGTAAAAAGACAGGCTCCACTGTTTGGAGTCTTCCATTAACTTCCAAAGAGTTCTGGTTTTCAAAGCATGAGCCTAGCTGGAGATATTACCTTCAACTTTGGCCTCTAATCTGTAAATGTCATTCTTAAATCACACAGAGGTAAGTTTAACCTTTCGGCCTAGCAGAAGCACTGTGGTGTCAGCTGGGTAAAGAAGGCTTGGCCTGGGGGTCTTGATCGGGCTCAGGCTTTGATGTCTGTTCTGCCTTTTAACTTGCTGAATATCTTTTGGTGAGCTGCCGTACTTCTCTGGGCCACAGCCTCCTGCCAGAGTTCCCTTCTGAGGAGTTTGGTTTGCCAGGATGCTTAGTTGGGTTTGAATCAAGGGTAGGCACTCTACCTTGCTGAACTTATTTCCTGATCTATAAAATAGAGATAATGGAAATACCTACTGCATGGGGGTTTTGTGAGTTTTAAAAAGAGTTGTGATGTAGTTAGGGTGGTTGTATGTCTGGCACATGGAAGAATGCCAGTAGAAATGGACACGGACACCCCACCCCATCCCGCCTTTGATACTGAGGAATGAACCTAGGCCAGTGGTGGCAAACCAATGGCATGCGTGCTGCAGCAAGCTGTTGGTATCATTGAAAGCTCTAAAAGGTAACTTTGTCAAGAACACGAACAAACAGTGCTTGTGTACTACTGGCAGGAGTGGGTAAAGTGGCATCACCTCCTTGGAGGTTGTTTTATGAGTATGCATTGAGAATCTTAAACCAGGTTTGGTGGCTCACACCTGTAATCCCAGCACTCTGGGAAGCTGAGGCAGGAGGGTTGAAAAACCAACCCCCGGTCTCCAAAAGAAAAAGGCAGAAAGGGGCGGAAAGTGTAGCTCACTGTGAAAGCCCTGGGTTCAATCCCCGTTAGAACACACACAAATGACTTAATGTGCACATCTTTAACTGAAAACAAAATTTTCAGCTTCTGGCAGATCATGATCCCCACAGAAGTGCATGTCCACAACAAGACACATTCATCACAGTGTTGAGATGAAAGTGTTGCCATATTATGCCAAATATGTGACCATTTAAATCTGTGTTTTGCCTGGGAATGGTGGCACATGTCCATAATCCCAGCACTTGGGAGGCTGAGGCAGGAGGATCTCAGTTGAGTTCCAGGCTAGCCAGGGCTACAGACTGAGTTCAAGGTAAGCCTGAACTGCATAGTGAAACCTTGTCTGAAAAAGACAAAACCAAGATGAAACAAGCACCTGCCTAGCAAGTGTGAGTTTGATTCCTAGTACCAAAAAAAAAGACAAAAAACCTACGTTTTAAATGAAAAAATAGCCAGTGAATGCCAGGCGTAGTGGCACATGCCTGTAATCCCAGCACTTGGGAGGCAGAGGCAGGAGGATCAATGCAAGTGTGAGGCTAGCCTGGGCTACAAAGTGAGCTTAAGGCCAGCCTGAACATAGTGAGACCCTGTCTTAAAACAAAACAAAAAAAGAAAATAGCCAATGAATATGACAAAGTACCAACTATTTTAGACTATTCGTGCTGTTACAACAAAATATAAATAGTGGGGCTGGTGATGTAGCTCACTGGCGTAAGTGCTTGCCTGGCAAGCCTAAGGTCATGAGTTTGATTTCCAGTACCAAAAAAAAAGAAAAAAAACAAAATATAAACTGGCTTATAAACAGAAATGTGTATCTATAGTTCTGGAGAGTGGAAGTCCGAGATCAAGCAGATTTAGTGTCTGAAAAGAACCGACTTACTAAAATAGGTGAATAAAATCCACACAAGCTGAGTGTGGTGGCTCATGCCTGTGATCCTCAGCACTGAGGAGGCTGAGGCAGGAGGATTGCCACAAGTTGGAGACTAGCCTGGACTACATAGACCCTGTCTCAAAAAACTGGAAAAAAAAATTAATAAATGCAAAAGACCAACTTTTCATTGCATCCTTGCTTGTGGAAGGGACAAAGCAGTGCTCATGAGGGCTTCACCCTTATGGCCTAATTATGGCCCAAAGGCCTCACCTCCTAATGGCATCACAATGGGAATCAGGCTTTAATATAGGAATTTGTGGGCAACCGGGGATATAACTCAGCAGTATAAGTGCCTGCCTGGCAAGTGCAAGTTCCTGAGTTTGATTCCCGGTACCAAAAAAAAAAAAAAAAAAGAAATTTGTGGGAATACATTCAGATGATAGCATTGAATTCACTAACAGGAAGCTGTCTTCCAAATCAGAAAAACACACCAAGGACTGAGGAAGTAGCTCAGTATTAGAACACTTGCTTAGCATGCATGAGGTCCTGGATTTGATCCCAAGTACTGTGCTACCATAAAGAAAAAAGTGCATAACTGACTCAGTAGAAGCCAGGGCAAATGGATGAGCAGGAAATTAAGACCGGAGACACAAATGGCCACAAACATGAGACAACATCCAGTTTCATTAATTAAAAGAAGATGAAATGCCATTTTGATTGATCCCAGGGCCTCACACCTGCTAGGCAAATGTTCTACCAATGAGCTACATACCCAGTAACAATATGTTTTTGTTTTTGGTTTTGTTTGTACCGGGAAATGAACTCAGGACCTTGCACTTGCCAGGCAGGTTCTGTGCCACTGAGCTATATCCCCAGCCTGAGCAATATGTATTTTAAATGTTCAGTTCATTATCCAAATCATATGCACACATACACACACACAGTCATTGGAACATTGTTTAGATTAAAAAAATAAATCTTTTGATGAAGTGGCTAACTAAACAGGTAGATTCACACATCGAAATTTATGTAGACATTGAAGATACTGAGATGACTTACAGTCAGGGTGTAATGGTGAAGGTAAGGAAAAAGATTAAGTATGGGGAAGAATCAAGCAATGAAATGATACGTTCAGTTGTTTAATTTGATCCCATCTGTGTAAGTCCATGCACGGTGATATGTGCACACAGAACGTTATGGGTTGTGCACCAAGCTGTTCACAGTGGTTAGCTCTGAGGAGTGGAATTTCAAAGGACTTGCTTTTTTTTTTTTGGCTTTTTGAGACAGGGTTTCAGTGTGCAGTTCAGGCTGGCCTTGAACTCACCTTGTAGTCCAGGCTGGCTTAGAACTCACAGTGATCCATCTGCCTCAGCCTCCAGAGTGCTGGGATT